GATCTCTAATAATAGCTATTATAAAGATAAAGCACATTTCTTGGTAACTATCTCTGCATCTTTTTATTTTTCCTTGTCTTTGGTCACCATTTCTTGGTCTAATCCAGTCTTAACATGTAATTTTGTCTGTCTGAGTCCTTTTTATGTTCTCACACTTTGTTCATCCCTTTTCTCTTTCCCTCCCATTTTGTTGCTGCTCTGTTTGCAGATGCCTAAAATGTGTCCCAGTCCCCAAGTCTAAGTGTCTATGAAACTACATATAATTCACAATGATCTTTGTTCATTGTTTTTAAGAATTTTAATGCGATTGAAAAATAGATCACTACCAGTGTTTAAGCACTTTGGGCTTCGCTTTTCTCATGTACATATGAAATGGGTAAACTCAAAATTTCTTCCTAAAGCTAACACTCTTACTCTGTGTTAAAAAGCCCCTATAGCACAACAAAATACTTTCAATGATCCCTTACCAAACAAAGACCAAACCCACAGGAAAAGTGTCCAAGGACCTCTCAATCTGGCCCCCACTCCTGCACTTCCATGTAGGAGTTCCACGACCTGTCAAACTGGAAAACTCATGGCTCTTGAGCATATCTTAGTTGGGACTTCCTCATCCTGTTCCCTCTGCTAAAACACTTTCCTCTATCCTCCATCTCCTTCTACACGTAATCTACTTTTCTCTCAACTTCTAACCCAACATTTAACCAATGACACACATGTATACTGGTATAGATTTTATATTGTAAAATTGCTCCTGAGAAAGTACTTAGTATTTTATATTTTGACTTCAGAATCACTTTTTTTAAAGATCTTATTTATTTGAGAAAGTGAGCAAGCATGAGTAGGGGTAGGGGTAGTTGGAGAGGGAGAGCAGGAAGCCCAACACGGGGCTCTCCCCAGGATCCTAGTCTCATGGCCTGAGCTGAAGGCAGATGTTTAACTGACTGAGCCACCCAGGCACCTGGACTTTAGATATACCTTTATTTTAAAATATCCCCAGAGAGTGTTTCCCCTCTCTGACTCTCCCTGCTGTCATGCTCTCTCTCTCTCTCTCTCTCTCATTCTCTTTCAAATAAATAAATATTTTTTAAATGTTTAAAATAAATAAATAAATAAATAAAATATCCTCAGAGATAATTTTTGTCTTATAGGAAAAATATAAAACAATCTTCCACTATAAATTATATTTTATGAATCATATCTCAATTATAATTATTGATATCATATTATCAATTATATTATATTATTTATATATTAAATTATATTTATTATTATATTTATTATAATAAAATTATATTTTTAAAAGAAAAAGTATTGTCAGATATAGAAAATAGAAGTCATTTCCAAATACAAAATGTGGACAGAGACTTGGTTCTCCTTGAGTCCTGACCTTCAAATAAAAATTATAGTGAAAGACAGTCTTCAGGGCCCTTACATACAGATCTAGACAGGTATTGGTTCCAAAATTCTCAGCCATTTCTTGACAGATAGCATCCATTCTCCTAACTGTGCTCAGAGGGGTGTTGGACTATCCCTCAAGAACCAATAAAGCTTTTTAATTGGATTTGAATCAGTATTTCTTACACCTTGCCGGGCCATAAAAGAACTACTCTTTCAAACCGGACTTTCAAAGGCACAGAAAGGGATGGTTACTGGTTTGCAGAGCACCTGAAAGGAGCTCAATGCCAGAGACCTCATGGGTTGAATAAGAGGAGGCAGGGTAGAAACAGCAAAGAGAGAAGTGAGCGTAATGTAGGAATGTGAAAGGGAAACAACTGAGGAAGAAACAGCCCACAGGCCACAGGCCAGTGCAACAGCACTGCTCAACCCATGACAGCTGCTCGTCCCACATGAGAGAATTAGCTGAAGCGAAGCAGAGCCGTTAGTATCACAGAACAAGTAGTCAGTCTGGTGAACTGGAGGTCGTTTAATCACGTGAACCATCACTCTAAGTGGCATATGTCTCTACAGCATATATAACATCTTCTGTTCCTTGGCATTTCATCAGTTGAAGAGAAAATTTAGAATTTTTGAGAAGCTGTGAACAAAACAAAACAAAAAGACAAGCACAAAACAAACATCCTATCTTCAACTGCAGGTGTGAAACCAGTCCATTAGAAATACATCCTTTAAAATCCTGATCTGGGGACGCCTGGGTGGCTCAGTTGGTTGGACAACTGCCTTCGGCTCAGGTCATGATCCCGGGGTCCCGGGATCGAGTCCCACATCGGGCTCCCAGCTCCATGGGGAGTCTGCTTCTCCCTCTGACCTTCTCCTCCCTCATGCTCTCTCTCACTGTCTCGCTCTCAAATAAATAAATAAAATCTTTAAAAAAAAAAATCCTGATCTGTTCGTATTTTAAATCTTCCAAGCGCCGACATAACAGAATTATTCAAGCATGCTGCTTCGACACATGCAGAGGCATCTGAGACACTTATGGTCTCAGGTTATAACAGCATATGTACTACATTACTATGTGGAATACATATTTACTGGAGAAGTTGATTTTATTTCAAACTCGAGTCTACTATATTTTCCTTAACTTCACTTGAAAATCCATATGTATTTCTTTTGGAAATAGTTTAACCTCAAGACAATACACTCTTGAGAAAATTTAAGAGTTTTGATAAGACCTACAATTAGCCACAAATGGTAACGGAAACGGTTTGAAATGTTATGACTAAGGATGTATAATAGAACCAAATACACAAGACTGAAAACCACCCCCAGCACTTCTGCATTTCTCCGGGAAAGAATGAGGTGCAAGTCTAGTTGCCCAAACCCTATTTCCTAGCTCATGCGGAAGTTATTATTTTAAATAGAATTTGGCTTGAACCACACTTGGAAGAAGAATGAAACAATTTATGACCTTTTCAAGTACTGACTGTGCACCTACAGGAGAGTGTTAAAGACTGTGGAGCACCACCAAATTAAATACCATCCACCTGTAAACAGAACGAGGAAGCTCTGTTACTCTAAAGACTACACTGTTTCCGGAGCACAGCCAGGTGCAGAAGAGCGTAAGCGTATGCCATCTTTCTGTGTAACACAGGAAATGAGGCGACATGTATTCACGTTTTCTTGTATTTACATAAAGAAACACCGAAGATACATGAAATAGTAGAAAAATGGCTACCTTTAAATGAAAAAATAGACTCCCTTTTTAATGTTGTTCTGATACTTGAATCAGATGAAGAGTGAGTTCTCTTTCTTGAAAAGTCTCTCTAAGTAAATTAAAATTTAAAGGTTAAAAATAACCGGGTTGCCTGGCTGGCTCCGTTGGTGGAGCATGCAACTCTTGATCTTGCGGTTGTGAATTCGAGCCCCATGCTGGGTGGAGAGATTGCTTAAAAATAAAATGAGATGCCCCAAATGAGGGATAAGTGGTGAGTCTTTCCTGCAACTCCACTGTAAATTGAACAGAGGAGCTGTGCATTTATTTATTTTTATTTTTTAACATACATTCTTTTTTTTTTAAGATTTTATTTATTTATTTGACAGAGATCACAAGTAGGCAGAGCAGCAGGCAGATAAGGAGGGGTAAGCAGGCTCCCCACCGAGCAGAGAGCCTGATGCGGGGCTCGATCCCAGGACCCTGGGATCATGACCTAAGCCGAAGGCAGAGGCTTTAACCCACTGAGCCACCAAGGGGCCCCGAGCTGTGCATTTATTGCACATAGATAGGAGGCCCTGTTGAGCTAAAAATCAAAACCTCAGGGCCTTCTAAATCTTCTAAGTTCCATATGCTAGTAATTTCTATTTGGAGATAAACTGCTTTCAGTGGCTTACCAGAAAGAGAACTTGGAATTAGAAGACAGGGTTCTAGCTCCAGCTCCATTAACTAGCTGTCCGTGGGATCTTACAGCTACTTCCCAAAGCCTCCGTTTCTGCATCAATTACGGAAGGAGACAGAGAAGTGATCCTTAAGGTCCCTTACAGGGTTTCTACTATTGTGTACTCTGATCCAGATTGTCAACACCAGACATATTCCATTTCTGTGTGTGCTGGGCTTAGTATAAAGCAAACACTCAATTACTGTTAAGGGAAACTTTTTTTACGCATGACCTTGGCGGTAATCAACAGATAATGCCGAGAAGCAAGGCACTTACAAAAGCAACATGAAGACTGATCATACTTTTCTACTTTTGTGTTTGAAAATTTCCATAACTAAGGGTTAAAGAAAGAAAAAACTGAAAATGCTTTAAGTCACAGGAGAAGTGCAAAGAGGCCCATATTTTCATAACAAAGACTGGAAGTGAGATATCAGATTTTTAGCTACGTTTCTTGGCCTGGACAAATTTAAAATCTTGAGCAGTATCTACCACATCTAGCCACTGAGCTACACGATTTGCTTCAATTCCTCGGATCCAAACTGGAGGCTGAGTTACTGGAACCCTGCGGAGTTCTCTGGTAGGGAAAAGCCTTTGTGTATTTATGGGAGGATTCATCTGCCCCCTGTTGTAGGTCAAAAAGCAAATTATCATATCTTACGAAAATAGAAAAGAGTCAAATCGTTTACATTACAGGTTTTACTGCAATTATTTTTAAATTAATTTTTAAATACTCGGTGAGCTCAGCATTTAACATAATTTTGTATTTAGGCAGCATATGATTTTTAAAAACTTTTTTAAAAGTTTCTTAAAACTGGGATGAAGAAGTTTCCCTGAAATACACGTAGAAAACTTTTTGCACAGGTGTGTGTGAGGCTGGAGACCACGCAGATAAAGTCAACACAAGATTCAGTATCGCACAGCGGGGATGCCGAACCCCCAGAGAACTTGACAGATGAACTTAAAATATTATGCTTCTCTCAGCATGAAAACACGGACAATTTCACTGGCTCTCCTTGGAGCTTCCTCCTCAAGAGGATTACACTAGTTTTTCCCATTACCTTGCTCAGGGACAAAGTAAGAACCTACCCTGCGACCGTGCTAGTGGTCCGACGGCAGGACGCATGGCGCCACCTGCTCCAGGGGGCCGGCCGGCCCGAGCGCGGGGTGGACCTTGCGATGCTGAACAAGGTTGCAGTGGTAAATGAAGTTCTTGCCACACTCCTCACACTTGTAAGGCCTCTCCCCGGTGTGAATTCTCTGATGCTTAATGAGGACAGAGCGTCGGCTAAAGCTCTTGCTGCACTGGCCGCACTGGAAGGGCTTCTCCCCCGTGTGGATCCGGAGGTGATGGAAGAGCCCGGCGTTCTGGCTGAAGGCCTTCCCACAGATGCCGCACTGGTAGCGCTTCTCCCCGGTGTGGAGCCTCTGGTGCTGGAACAGGCCTGAGCGCTGGCCGAAGGCGCGCCCACACTCCTCACACTCGTAGGGCTTCTCCCCCGTGTGCGTCCTCTGGTGCTCGATAAGGATGGAATTCTGGGTGAAGCTCTTCCCACATTCACCACAGACATAGGGTCTCTCCACGGAAGAGTTTGGCCGCTGCCTCTCCAGCCTGCCGTCCCGCTCACAGGGGTCTCCGCACTCAGGCATTTGAGCAGCATCACTGTTCGGTTTCTCCGGTGCTTCCACAAGAGGCCTCGTCTCTGTAGAAAGCTCCCTCTCCGGGCCTAACTCCACGTTCCAAGTCCTGGCCGCACCACCTGAAACAGCAAGGGGAGCATGCGGGTGTCAGATGTCCAAAGGGGAAGGGGGAAACCAGCCAGGAGAGGGGGTGGGAGGGGACGAACGAGCGCAGCTTCTGTTCACTTCTCCTTTGCCCTCAGGGAGAAGACGGGCTGAACTGTAACTGCGTGGTCAGCTGTCTGCCTGTCCCGGGGGGCCACAGTCTTCCTGAGGGCAGGGGCGCGTCTACCTTGCTTGGCACGGTCTCCCCAGGACCAACCGCAGCACCTGGTGCCCAGCAGACGCGGAACAGATGTGCTGAATGGGGGGCGGCACTCAGGGAGTGAGGGAGGCCTCCTGAGAAAAATCCCGATCCTCACCGATCGGAACCGGGCGCAGCTCGCGTGCACGGCACCGATGCAGCTCTTCCAAGGGCTGGGGCCGGCCACCTGGCAACTCCTGGGCTGGTCCCCGAGCTGCTTTCTCCTTCGCAAACTCTCCCTGTTCACAAGCATAGCTTGGGACCTGGCGGAAATTACGGATGGTTAGGAATCAAATGTGAGAGGCACCTTGTAAGGGGACCTCCCCAGGTCCGCCATATAGGAAAAGGCGGCCCAAGAAACTGGCAACAAGAAAGAGGCAGAGAGATGGAGAGCCCACAACAGACCACATCAGGCACAAAAAGCCCTCCTCCCCTACCTCTTGCTGCACGAAAACCCCACGCTTGCTCCTGCAGGTACAAACCTCTGTGCTCCCATCTTCCACCAGCTCTCCTGGCTCATCCAGCTCCCTCTCCAGGTCCTCCAGCGCAGTCACTGCCTGCTCCCCGCTCTCGGGGCGGTGCTCCCGCATCCAGGCCTGCAGCTCCTCGGGCAGGATGGTCAGGAACTGCTCCAGCACCAGCAGCTCCACGATCTGCTCCTTGCTGTGCGTCTCGGGCCGCAGCCACTGATGGCAGAGCTCCCGGAGTCTTCGAAGAGCTTCGCGGGGCCCAGGGGTCTCCTGGTAGCAGAACTGCCGGAAGCGTCTCCGAAAGATCTCTCTGGTGTGAGGGTTCTCTCTCGGCAGGCCAGATTCCTGCCCACAGCCACAATCCCCCTCTTTCTCTTCTACCTTTACTGCCTGAAGTCCTTCCTGCATCTCTGAAGTCTGAAGGACCAAGGCTGTGGCCATCTTAGACTTAACTCTTCAGAAAGAGTCTATTCGCGATGATTCCTCTTTGATCTTTGCTTCTGGAAATCCCAAAATCTAAAAAATAATTGCAGAGAAAAAAATACTAAAATGTTAAAAATCTTCTCTGCTGGCAGACACAGGAGTATCTGTAACAAAAGCAGTCACTGTCACATTTTATATTGAGACTCAGAAAACGCATATACATGTACGTATGAATGTTATGTTTGTGCATGAGATACACACCTACACAAGTAACTGAAATAATAATTTCACAAAACACTATGTATCCTGAATTATGTGACACACACTATTATTTTTAAAATCTTGCCTTTTTTTTAAACCCCAAAACAAAAACCCTGGTCATAGCCTACCATAAGGACTTCATGATTCACATACGAATCATGACCTATAGCTTTAAAAAGTTTCTAAATTTAAGTAAAAGAATTACAATTCACTGTAAATGTAACCCAACACTATTCTTGGGTATTGGCATGCATTGCAAAATAAAAACTAGGAACAGTGTATTTAAGTTCTGAACACAGCTCACACTACAACTAGGAGAAAAGTTAAATCCATATTGCCACTATTAGTTCTGCTTCTCAAGGAGGGAAGAACCACTGGGGTGGGGAAGCATCCTTGTGGATGCAAACATAACCCCCTCCACAAATCTCTACCACTTCTGGCTTCACCGACCTCTCTACAGTCACCACTCCAGGAAGAGTCAAAAGGTTTCCCCCTCGAAAGACAAGGATCCCTGAGCTCTTATGCCCCCCTCCCCCACTTTTCTTGGTGCTGACTCACTGTCACTTTGAGATCCACATTATCTTCTTTCAAAACTTCTCACATGCCACTCATTCCAATACTGCTCTCAGCACTAGACAAGGGGCCCCAACAAAACAAAGTCCCCACCTTGATGGAACTCACATTCTAAGCACAGTACCGATAGCAGCTGACACTTCTCTCGCTTTCAAGGTACCAGGCTTTGTACTAGATGTTTCACACGCATCAACTCACGGACTCCTCGAAACAACCCTAAGGGTTTGTTACTACCCACATATGGACAGATGAGAAAACGGAGGCCCAAAGAGCTGGAGTCACTTGCCCAAGGTCTCACACACAGGAAACAGTGAAGCTGCCTTTCCAAAAATCTACTTCAGAATTCACAGGCTCAACCACCACCCCACTGTCTCTCCTGTAAGTGGACAGGAAGAAGGGAAAAGGATGAAGGAAGGAGCTGGCAGGCACAGACAATAATGAAATAGATGTTAAACAGCATAATATAGTATATACTATAGTGTGTATATATATATAGTATAATTATTATACCATAATTAATTATGGTATAATTATAGTATAACTATATTATATATTATTATAGTGTGTATATATATTGTATAATTATTATACCATTAATTATGGTATAATTATATATTATATATTATATATTATATATTATATATAATTTTGTACAATTATACTATAATTACAGTATATTATATATTTATATTATATATATGTACATATTATAGTATATAATTATGATATTATACTATAATATATAATATATACACATATATAATATTGTGTATATATTATATATTATATAATACTATACCATGATATATATTATATATATTAATTATAATATATTAAAAATATATACTTTTAAGATTTTATTTATTTATTTGAGGGAGAGTAAGAGAGAGCATGAGAGAGGAGACGCAGACTTCCCAGAGCTGGGAGCCCAATGCGGGACTCAATCCCAGGAATCCAGGAACATGACCTGAGCCGAAGGCAGTGGCTTAACCAACTGAGCCACCCAGGCGCCCTTCCACTTTGGTTTTAAGTCAAAGATTTTCTATTCACAGAAAATGAATCTGCAGCTTTGCGCTCTGCTCATAGAAAATCATTCTGCTATATGGTGTTTCAAATCTTTACTCAGTTTCACTACAATCAATCCCCTCTATTCTCTGTATAGCCTAGGGGCTCCCTTTTGCTTTCCTCTCCTGCTCTTGCTTCTTCTGTCTGGTGGCCTAAAATCCCACGGCCTCACGCCAGCACATCGTAGCTCCTCTTTGAACCCAGTGCCTGTAAAATGCTTCCCAAGTGTTTTACAACCCTGCCCTCCCGGTCACAAACAGTTGTTTTTTTTTTTTTTTTTTTTTTTAAGATTTTATTTATTTATTTGACAGACAGAGATCACAAGTAGGCAGAGAGGCAGGCAGAGAGAGAGGCGGAAGCAGGCTCCCTGCCGAGCAGAGAGCCCGATGCGGGGCTTGATCCCAGGTCCCTGGGATCATGACCTGAGCTGAAGGCAGAGGTTTTAACCCACTGAGCCACCCAGGCGCCCCTCTAGTCCCACTTATTGACAAGACTGTCTTTCCCACTGAATTTCAGTGGTGCCCTTGTTTTCCAATCAATTTCTACAAAAAATAATCTTCCTGGGATTTTGATTGGGATTGCAGTTAAGCATGTGTTCCATTTACTTACCCCCATAATCTCAGCAATATGAGACTTCCAATTCTATAACATGGTATATTACTTGATTGATATATATATCTTTAATTTCTCTTCTTGAATATATATATATATATATATATATTTTTTTTTTTTTTAATTTTATTTATTTATTTGACAGACAGAGATCACAAGTAGGCAGAGAGGCAGGCAGAGAGAGAGAG